TTGTTGGGTGTTTTTTATTTATTTCTTTTTATTTTTTATTTTGCTACTACACTGTATGACATGTAAAGTTCAACAAACTAATACTTGTCAATATTCAAAATACCGGTAAAACACCTGCAATGCACAGGCATTTTTTTTGTTTTTCAAATGAATACAGTACATTTTGCCCTATTTTATTGATTTTTTTTTACAGTGTATTTTCTCAGTACTAGCACCTGTTGTTTTGAATGCAACAAAGAGTATAAACACCTCTGCCATCATCGTGCATTAGCAACTCATGCTAGACAGCATTCCTAGTACTAAAATACTTTCATACTACTTACGTCAGAAATGTAGGTAGTTTACTCAGTGGTCTCTTATCTTTGTTAGGAACATGTCCCTGCCGTCCATACTCAAGTCTGCATTGCAAGACTGTAAATATCATTAGCCTTTCTAAACAAATCAGTGTATTCTCTGGATCAGTTGTCACTGTTATGCCCAGGGGTTGCAGGATGATGTTAGTTTTGCTGTCTGTAGAACAAGGCAGAATTGCTCAGCATATGCTCAGCAGATTGTGTTTGTCTTACCGAGCTTTTCTGCTCATTGCTGAGGATCGGGGAAATATAAATAGCCAGGAAAAAGAACAACAACAAAAAACTGTGAAACACTCTTATGAATTTAATTTGCTGAAATCTGTTCAATCGTTTGAGTTTGGCTGATGTCTGCAAATTCCAATCTAGATTCATTTTGCTGGAGAATGTACTCATTTTGGCCAGGTCATGACTGGAGCATTCATATCCACACACAAGCAAACACAAACAACAAAAAGAAATGCATTCTGAATACCATATTGAGAATTGTGCTTCTATTTGCAGATCAACGGATTATGGCAGCACTTATGAGAGACTGAATGATAAAGTGGGAGTCAAGACCGTTTTGAGTTACCTCTATGTCTGCCCCACCAACAAGAGAAAGGTAAGACACCTACAGCCTCTTATTCTCTGTTTTCTTCCCTTTGAGAGACTCCATGTTTCCCTACTTCAAATAAAGCCAGTTATTTTGAAATATTTCTTTATTTTTCTGCTTTCCAGCAGCCTATAAAAAGATACTAAAAGGCACTAAAGGAGTGACTAACCTGATCAACCTGGAGCAATTCTGCTTAGACAGACCTTAACAGTGTGGAAAGCTGATGCATACTACATTATTAAATTATATTATATTATATTATATTATATTATATTATATTATATTATATTATATTATATTATATTATATTATATTATATTATATTATATTATATTATATTATATTATATTATATTATATTATATTATATTATATTATATTATATTATATTATATTATATTATATTATATTATATTATATTATATTATATTATATTATATTATATTATATTATATTATATTATATTATATTATATTATATTATATTATATTATATTATATTATA